ATTTATTGAGACATGACAGGCCAATAGTAAGCCCTTTAATACACAGTCATTGTGTCATTAGGGCAAACCATGGGCATTGTCTGCATTTTAAATGCAGGGAAACAGAATTAGAGAGATTGGTTATGGCATCTGAGATCACATAGCAATAAGTGGTGCCAGGATTCAAGTTGGAGCCGAATGACCCTGGAGGTTTTGGCCTCAAGTCAATACTGGCGCACAAATTGGATTTCTTTTTTTTTTTTTTTTTTTTTTTTTTGAGATGGAGTCTCACTCTGTCAGCCAGGCTGGAGTGCAGTGGCCGGATCTCAACTCACTGCAAGCTCCGCCTCCCAGGTTTATGCCATTCTCCTGCCTCAGCCTCCCGAGTAGCTGGGACTACAGGCGCCCGCCACCTCGCCTGGCTAGTTTTTTTGTGTGTGTTTTTAGTAGAGATGGGGTTTTACCGTGTTAGCCAGGATGGTCTCGATCTCCTGACCTCATGATCCGCCCGTCTCGGCCTCCCAAAGTGCTGGGATTACAGGCTTGAGCCACCGCGCCCGGCCGCAAATTGGATTTCTTGAATTGTATGGGTAATGAATAAAACAGCCTTGTGTTGCTGACTTGTATTCAATAGGCTTTCAGAGGACCAGGGCCCAGGTGACCTACTGAGACCCAGAATGGGAGGAACATACCTCCCATCTGTGGGGTGGGGAACTCAGCAGGAGCTAGGAGGCTGTGGGACACCCTGGCCTTGCACTCAGGGCTCGAAGGGCATGGGAGCATCACAGTGAAAGCCACCATCATGAGAGAAAGGCCCAAAAATACAGATGGACTTGCACTTGAGTCCACTGGGCATGTCCTCATGGGCAAGACTAGGGTGACACTTAGGTAGGGACTAAACCCCGGCATGAGCAGATGTGGATAGTGAGGAGGTGCTCAGAGGTGTGAGGCTACAGCCTCACGTTCATGTGGTAGACTGTTTCAGGCTAGGGAAGCTTGGGATACTCTGGCTTCATTACAATTGTTCAAGAAATTATGGAAGTAATGCATTGTTCTCTTAGCAGACAAACTTTATTTTCTTTATCTTATTATAAATCTTTTGCAAAAAAAAAAGATAGTGCTAAATAAAATTGTCTTTTCTCTTAGGACATGTTTGCTATTGAGTTTGTAAAGTTAATATCTTCATACTTGACCCATTAGCTTGAAGTCAAATTTCAATATTATTGTAATTTCTAACAATACTCCCATTATTTTCCAGTTCCTGCACTTAGCCATGAAAACCAATGTCACTTTGACTGAGTTACTTCATTTCTGTGAGCTCATCTATTAAATAAGGCAGTTGAATGAGATGTTTTCTACTATCCTTTCATAATCTTAAAGACAGTGACTGAGAGCCTGACTCTTTAAATGCTCAAAGTGAATTACTATTGATTTTTGCCTTTAAGTCGTTACTTAATGTGGTTATGACTTGTTTGATGTTAGTGAGTCTTTGATTACAGTCCATTTCCAAGGTTAGCTTTGTTTCCATAGAAATGCAACTGCTATGCCATGACCTGAGTTAAAACCAATGGCCAAATTGTACCCTGTATGGAAGATTGGGGTTTCTTGTCATCCAACTTGAGAACCACGGACCCTGGTGAAGCCCATGAAACAGAGGAGATAAACTCAGATGAAAATACAATATAAATTGCCAAACCAGACTGAGGTACAGTCTATCAACTGATGAAGGCACTTCAACCAAATAGATGTCTTGAAAAATTATAGACGATAAAGTATCAAATGGCCAGATAAATTGACAGGGATTTTACTGATTTTACAAGGATGATGTAGTTTCACTGACACTGGAGTATAAGAAATATAACAGCAAAAAGATACTGCCTCCCACCTCCTCCAACCCCATGAACTTTCAGTAACGGAATTTCAAACTAAACCTTTCCTTTTCTTTTCTTCTTTTCTTTTCTCTTTTCTTTCTTTTTGAAACAGAGTCTCACCCCATCTCCCGGGCTGGAGTGCAGTGGCATGATCTTGGCTCACTGCAACCTCCAACTCCCAGATTCAAGTGATTCTGCTGCCTCAGCCTCCCAAATAGCTAGGACTACATGTGCAAACCACCACACTGGGCTAATTTTTGTATTTTTAGTAGAGACAGGGTTTCACCATGTTGGCCAGGCTGGTCTGGAACTCCTAACCTAAGGTGATCCACCCACCTTGGCCTCCCAAAGTGCTGGGATTACAGGAGTGAGCCACCGCGCCCAGCCAGACTAAACTTTTCTAAATGTCGTGTGGAGGATAAAATTATTTGTACAAATGTTCTCATAAGTATATTATAAAGCATTTCAACACCTAGTAATCCACTACTAAAGACATTAATTTTTAAAAATCATTGTGATATTTGGTACCATTATATAATAGAAAATAAGGTAAACATGCAGACTATATACAATCCAATTCAATTACCAAATACGAGCAAAACCTATTAGATCAATTTCTGGCTTTTTTGAAGAAATCGAATCAAGTTTATTCAATTGTACCCTATGGTCTCAGTGTAACAGTAAAGGGAAGAGGATGCTAAAACCAACCTCCTTTGATAATCTCCAATTAGATGACCAACTGGCCTGATTTGCCTGGGACTAAGGGTTATCAGGATGTGGAACAATCAGTGTTAAAACCAGGGCAGTCCCGGGCCTACTGGGACCGCTCGTCCTCTTCATCCCTCCAGTTCTTTTTAAAATATGTGGGATATCCACATTTCTTTATCCTGGGACTTTTCTGCTTGCATGTAGGCACTCCAGGAAGTCACAAAGCTGCACGATGGCGGGGCTGAGGAATCAGCCGAGGAATCAGCCAAGGAATCAGCCACGTCTCCGGGGCATCCGCCTCTTGCATTAGAGGTGTCTTCAGCTCTATCTTTGGGTGTCCAGGCTGCCACCAGGTAGCTAACACAGAACTGTCCTGGGCAACTTTTGTCTTTGGTAGTCTGTGCTTTCCCTGTTGACATCCTCAGCTGCCACCTCCACAGACCTCGCACTGTATTCCCTGTGGCTCATGCCTGTGAACAGTGTCTACAGGGACTTGCTTGCAGCACACTGTTAACTAATTGACAAATAGCCAACTACTGAAGCTCAAAGTGTGACCTCTTCCAGAAGTGTTGGGGTCTTAAGAGGTCATTCTCAGAGCTCAAAAATCTTTCAAAGACACAAAGCTAGACAGTAAAAATTGTTAGCTCTGTGGAAACCAAAGTGCAAAGCACTTAATAGCAAGAGTTGTTTCTTCCTGAGTACCATGTGTTGGGCACCATGCTAAATATTTCACAAACATTAATTCATATAGTTCTACAGTAGCCCTGTGTGGTAGGTACCGAATCAAGCCCATTTCACAGGTAGAGACGTTGAGGCTGAGCTTGGTAATATGCCCTGCCCCATATCACAGAGCCAGAAAGATCAGAGCCTGATTTGAACCCGACTCCATGCTTATACACCTCAAAGTCAGGCTCTTTTTTCCCCCACAATGAATAGGTGTTTTTTGTTTTTTTTCTGGTATCACACACATACATACACACACATACACTATATATATAAATATATATATAGTTCCTGTAGAGGGACAGGGTGTCGCTCCGTTGCTCAGGCTGGAATGCAGTGGCGCAATCATAACCTCAAACTCCTGGGCTCCAGGAATCCTCCTGCCTTGGCCTCCCAAGTAGCTAGGACTGTAACCATGCCCAGGTAATTTTTTTTTTCCCAGAGACAGGGTCTCACTATGTTGCCCAAGTTGGTCTTGAACTCCTAGGCTCAAGCAATCTTCCAGCCTCAGCCTCCCAAAATCCTGGGCTTACAGGTCTGAGCCACTGTGCCGGACCTCACATGTTAGGTGTTTTTTGTTTGTTTGTTTTTTGCTTTGAAATGGAGTTTCACTCTTATTGCCAGGCTGGAGTGTAATGGTGCAATCTCGGCTCACTGCAACCTCCGCCTCCTGGGTTCAAGCGATTCTCCTGCCTCAGCCTCCCAAGTAGCTGGGATTACAGGCACCCGCCACCATGCCAAGCTAATTTTTTGTATTTTTTGTATTTTTAGTAGAGATAGGGTTTCGCCATGTTGGCCAGGCTTGTCTCAAACTCCTGACCTCAGGTGATCCACCCGCCTCGGCCTCCCAAAGTGTTGGGATTACAGGCGTGAGCCACCGTGCCCAGCCACGTTAGGTTTTAATGAGGCCTCTTAGTTTGCAGCTAGGATCAGGTCCTCTCTCTCACCCCTCACTGATTCAGCCATATACAATTATTTTGATCACTTGCTATCCACCTATGGTGTTCTTGGCACTAGGAATCCTGCTGTGAGTGAAGCTGAGCTCCTGTCTGTGTGAAGCCTGGGCCACATGGGTCTCCCAGATGTGCTCTGAAGTCACTGTCAAAAGTCATGGGCACTGGAGAGTTTCATGTGCCTGACACTAGGGAAGATACCAAATTCTACATTTGCCTCCAACGGGCACAAATGTCAGTTTCCATCAAGCTCCACCCTGTCCAGGTGACCCCAATTGTAGCTCTTTTCATACTATCTCCCCTTCTCCTACAAGTGCCACCAACAGGCCGAGGTGGGGAGCTGGGTTTAGAGATGCTGGTCTGAACCTCAGGTGAAATCCTCTCCTTTATGTTGCAGGAGAATGGGTGCTCAGATGGAGAATCAGCACTCTTCTCAGCACTGGAAGGTGCTGTGGCTGGGGGAGTCTGCATTATGTTCTGGGCTATGAGCTTTTCCAGAATTCCACTCCACAGGCACACGTCTGCTGTGTATGTATTTCTTTTTTCTTTTTCTTGAAACAGAGTCTCACTCTGTCGCCCAGGCTAGAGTGCAGTGGCATGATCTTGGCTCACTGCAAGCTCCACCTCCCAGGTTCACACCATTCTTCTGGCTCAACCTCCCAAAGTAGCTGGGACTACAGGCGCCCACCACCACGCCCAGCTAATGTTTTGTATTTTTAGTAGAGACGGGGTTTCACCGTGTTAGCCAGGATGGTCTCGATCTCCTGACCTCATGGTCTGCCCACCTCGACCTCCCAAAGTGCTGGGATTACAAGCATGAGCCACCGTGCCCAACCTTTGCATTTCTTGATAAAAATCAGAAGTCCCTGAGTTCTCCAGTCTTGAATTTCTATGTCACATGTCTATCTGCATCTGAGGATGCTGGAAGTTGAGTCTGTTAGGAGGCCCCTGAATATGTGCTTGTCCCGTTGGTGCTTCCAGGAGGTTGCCTAACCCCTCATTTCTCTTTTGTTCTGTGTTTCTTGCTCTAGGCTATTGCTCCATTTTCTGTAGGTTACCTCCTGCCACCTCTTCTCCAGGGTGATGGTGTTTGCAACACACAGTTCCTTGTCTTGGTTTCCTAAGCATCTTACTTCTGAAGGTGAGATACTGGCTGTAACAATTAAGAAACTATTATTACAAGCTTGGGGATAACACTAGGTACTTAAGAAAACAACAAATCAAACCTGAGCTTCAGATAAGGATCACAGGATTAATGCCTGACTTGTACCTGATGACCGGGATAAAGACCAGGTGCCTCCAGAAGTGACTCTCCTCAGGTCCCAGCCAGCTGACAACTGCATTCACTGATTATCTCTTTCTCTGCTTTTCTTTATCTGCATACTGGTTTCCAGGCCTTTGCTCACCCTGAAGGAGTCTCTGTTGCAAAAAATTGAAGTGAAATTCACATAATATAAAATTAGCCAATTTAAAACACACATTTCAGAGGCACTTAGTATATTCACAAGGTTGTAATGAACATCACCTCTAGTTCTAAAATATTTTCTTCACACCAAAGGAGACCAACCCCTGTACCCATCAAGCAGTCACTCACTGTTCCCTCCTCCCCCCAGCCCCTGGTACCCACCAATCTGCTTTGTGTTTCTATGAACTTACCTATCTTGGATGTTCCATATAATTTGAATCATACCACAACATATGACCTTCAATTTCTGCCTTCTTTCACTTGTCATAATGTTTTCTGGGTTCATCTACATTGTCAATGAAGTATCAATACCTCATTTATTTTTAAAAATTGTGGTAAAATACACATAACAAAAATTTATCATTTTAACAATTTCCTTTTTTTTTTCTTTGAGACAGAGTCTCCCTCTATTGCCCAGGCTGGAGTTCAGGGGCATAATCTTGGCTCACTGCAACCTCTGCCTCCCGGGCTCAAGCGATTCTCATGGCTCAGCCTCCCGAGTAGCTGGGATTACAGGTGTGCACCACTGTGCCCGGCTAATTTTTGTATTTTTAGTAGAGATGGGGTTTTACCATTTTGGCCAGGCTGGTCTCGAACTCCTGACCTCAGGAGTCCACCCACCTGGGCCTCCCAAAGTGTTCCACCCACCTGGGCCTCCCAAAGTGCTGCGATTACAGGCATGAGCCACCATGCCTGGCCCATTTTAACCATTTCCAAGTGTACACGGTTCTGTAACATTTAAGTACGTTCTCATTTTGGGACAACCGACACCACTGTCCATCTCCAGAACTTTTTCACCTTCCCAAACTGAAACTCCAAGTCCATTATAGACTTTCCACTCCCTGTCCCCCAAATCCCTGTCAACCACCATTCTACTTTCTGTCTGCCCAATTGTGAGTATTCTAGGTACCTCCTATAAGTTGAATCATACAGTGTTTTTCCTTTTGTGACTGAGTTATTTAACTTACTATAATGTTTTCAAGGTTCAACAGTGTGTCGAAATTTCCTTCTTTTTAAAGTGAGTTGAGATCACGCCACTGCACTCCAGCCTGGGCGACAGAGTAAGACTCCATCTCAAAAAAATATATATATATAGTTATCCTTGTAGGCATGATGTGGTACCTCATTGTGGTCTTGATTTGCATTTCCCTAATAAGTAATGATGCTGAATATCTTTTCATGTGCTTGTTGACTATTTGTATATCTTTAGAGAAATGTCTAAGTCCTTTACCCATATTTTAATCTTTTTGTTATTTAGTTGTAACATTTCTTCCGGATATTGGACCTAGGAGCTCCCTTTAAAGATCTTGGACCATAGGTACTATATTGGTTCATTTTCTGTTACCTATATCAGAATTCCTGAAACTAGGTATTTTACAAATAAAACGAATTTATTTCTTACAGTTATGGAGGCTGAGAAATCCAAGGTTTAGGGACTGCCTCTGGTATTCCTGTCTCTTCTCCTTTTTCCACTAAAGGCCTGGTTGCCTTGACTGCTTCCAAGAGACTGGCAGGGAAAAGCAGTCTAACCATCCACAAATATTAGCTAGATGGTAAGCCTCCAACTCTCAATAATGAACCTGCCTACTGAGGGAAACATAGCCAACTCCAAATATAATGGGATTTTCTTGTGTTGTTTGTTTGTTTGAGACGGTCTTCCTCTATCTCCCAGGCTGGGGTGCAGTGGCTCCATGTTGGTTCACTGGCCTAAACCTCCCGGGCTGATGTGATCCTCCTACCTCAGCCTCCTGAGTAGCTGGGACTATAGGTGTATGCCACTACATCCCGCTAATTTTTTATTTTTTAGTAATAACGATGTTTTGCCACGTTGCCCAGGCTGGTCTCAAACTCCTGGGCTCAAGCAATCCTCTGGCCTTGACCTCCCAAAATAATGGGATTACAGGCGTCAGCCACTGCACCAGGCCAAAATTAGTTTAGACCAGATCAGATTGTCCTACTTAATAGCCTTTACTCTGAGATATTGGTTAAGCTCACAGAGCTGGGTCCCAGGCAAATCACTGAGTCTAAGCCCCGGGGTGGTAGCACCTGCCCCAACCTCCACATTGCCTAAACCTTGCAGAGGCAGGAAGTTCCTCCTTCCTGATGCTGCAATCAGTCCTAGTCAGTTTCAGAATTTGGGGTCATATGCAGATTACAAAAGGCCATCTTCAAAGAAGCTGCTTATAGATTTCATGAAGTTTCTTAGGAAGTGAAACTTTCTGACGTATAGACAGCAAATGGCTTCCAAGAAGAATAGTACTGCTCACATAACAGTGCAGTATGAGCCAGGTACAGTGGCTCATGCCTGTAATCCCAGCACCTTGGAAGGCTGAGGCAGGCAGATCACCTGAGGTCAGGAGTTTGAGACCAGCCTGATCAACATGGAGAAACCCCATCTCTACTAAAAATACAAAAAATTAGCCAGGCATGATGGTGCATGCCTGTCATCTCAGCTACTTGAGAGGCTGAGGCAGGAGAATCACTTGAACCTGGGAAGCAGAGATTGCAGCGAGCCAAGATCGCACCATTGCACTCCAATCTAGGCAACAAGAGCGAAACTCTGTCTAAACAAAACAAAACAAAACAAAGAACAGTGCAGTATAACCTGAAATGGGGTATACAAGCATCTTTTCACCCATGATAGGCCACTCCTTACAAGGAATCCCATTATTCACTTTAAAAAAGAAATGGCGCCCGGGTGCGGTGGCTCATGCCTATAATCCCGGCACTTTGGGAGGCCGAGGCGGGCAGATCATGAGATCAGGAGTCATGAGGTCAGGAGTTCAAGACCAGCCTGGCCAACCTGGTAAAACCTCGTCTCTACTAAAAATACAAAAATTAGCTGGGCATGGTGGTGCATGCCTGTAATCCCAGCTACTCAGGAGGCTGAAGCAGGAGAACTGCTTGAACCAGGGAGGCAGAGGTTGCAGTAAGCCGAGATCAGGCCATAGCACTCCAGCCTGGGCAACAGAGCAAGACTCTGTCTCGGGGTGGAAAAAAAAAAAAAGAAATGGCTATGTTAAAGTTTTGACAGTGAATAATTTGTAAGTCATTCCTCTCATATGGTAAAAACAATATCTACTCTCCTATAATGAAAAAAAACTTTTTTTTTTTTTTTTTGAGACAGAGTCTTACTCTGTCGCCCAAGCTGGAGTGCAGTGGCACAATCTCGGCTCACTACAGCCTCTGCCTCCCAGGTTCAAGCAATTCTTCTGCCTCAGCCTCCCGAGTAACTGGGACTACAGACGCGCATCACCACGCTCAGCTAATTTTTTTTATTTTTAGTAGAGACGAGGTTTCACCATATTGGCCAGGTTGGTCTCAAACTCCTGACCTAAGGTGATCCTCCCACCTTGGCCTCCCAAAACACTGTGATTATAGGCGTGAGCTGCCACGCCCAGCCTGAAAAAAAACCCTTTAAGGAAGGTTTTTTTTAAGGTTCCTAGGGCTGGTTATTACTGGAAATCATAAACAAAATGACCACTTAAGTATAAGAATCATCTGAATATCTAGCCTGGCCAATGTGGTGAAACATTGTCTTTACTAAAAATACAGAAATTAGCCAGGCATGGGGCATGGTGGCACACACCTGTAATCCCAGCTACTTGGGAGGCTGAGGCAAGAGAATGGCTTGAATCCGGGAGGTGGGGGTTGCAGTGACCAAGATCGTGCCATTGCACTCCAGCCTGGGCAAACTCTGTCTCAAAAAAAAAAAAAGAAACATCTGAATTTGACTTTTAAAATTATGATTGTATATCATAATTCAATCAATAAATATGTTAAATGATTTTTTTCTGTGAAGGATAAAGTAATATTTTCCCCAAAACTAATCATAAGAAGAAAAGTACTTCCTTTAGTACAAAGTTACAACATAGGCCAGTGGTTTTCAAAGTGTGGCATAGGGAACCCTGGAGAATCCCCAAATCTTTTTTTAGGAGAACGGTCTATGAGGTCAAAAGTATTCTCAAAACAATACTGGGGCCAAGCGTGGTGGCTCATGCCTGTAATCCCAGCACTTTGGGAGGCCGAGGCGGGCGGATCACTGGAGGTCAGGAGTTCCAGACCAGCCTGGCCAACATGGTGAAACCCTGTCTCTACTAAAAATACAAAAATTAGCTGGGCGTGGTGGCACACGCCTGTAATCCCAGCTACTTGGGAGGCTAAGGCAGGAGAATTGCTTGAACCCAGGAGGCAGAGGTTGCAGTGAGCCAAGATCACCCCAGTGCTCTGCAGCCTGGGCAAGAGTGAAACTCCATCTCACAAAAAAAAAAATACTGGGAATGACTTGTCTAATTTACTTTCATTGTCTCATGAGTGTACAATAGAGCTTTTCTGAGTCTGTAAGAAACATAGTATTATATATACACAGTTGAATCCAATGTCTTCTGTTAAGGCAGAAAAAAAATTTTGCAAAATTGTAAAACAATGCCATTCTTCTCACTATAACATTTTTCTTTTGGAAATTCTTTTGTGAAGTTCGCTTTTGCATAACTATGTTATTTGTGTTAACATTTTTATTGTATTCATGTAAATATTATTTCATATATTTCATTTTTAAGTTAGCCTACGGTAAAATTGACTTTTCTTGTGTACAGTTCTATCAGTTTAATTTTTTTTTGGAAACAGGGTCTCACTGTCACCCAGGCTGAAGTACACTGGCACGATCACAGCTCACTGCAGCCTCCACCTCCTGGGCTCCAGCGATCCTCTCACTTCAGGCTCCCAAGTAGCTGGGACTACAGGCATGCACCATCACACTGGGCTAATTTTTGTATTTTTTGTAGAGATGGGGTTTTGCCATGTTGCCCAGGCTGGTCTTAAACACGTTGGCTCAAATGATCCTCCAGCCTTGGCCTCCCAAAGTCCTGGGATTACAGGCACAAGCCACTGTGACTGGCCAGTTCTAGAAGTTTAAATACAGATTCATATAGCCACTGCTTCAATGCAGACACAA